CATGTGATATTATAACAAAGAGGCACTCTCTGTATATAAAATACACTAAAAATGAAATTTCCTATTTTCTAGAGATAGAAAATAATCATAAAATTATGTAGGACTCCACAGACACTGATTGGCTAAGCTTAAAGAGAAGTTATAGGGTACATGGAAAAAGAATTGACAATATTTTTTTCAGTTATAAGTATATTAAAACTACTAAGTTTTGTATCAAAACAAAGACAAAGCTGTATATTCAAAGTCTAAATGCACATGTCTAGATGGTGAAACAATGTTCTCAAACCAAAAGCAATTGTAAGAGACAAAAATCATAGTTGTACTCTACAATTACAAAGGTATAAGTGATTCGCGGAGTTCTTTGCATTCTATTTGCCTTTTCTGTCAAATTTGTCTTCCTCTCATTGAGAAATAATTTAAGTTGTCCTATTGGTCTTCCATNATTGGTGGCTCAGTTTAGGAGTATACCCTGGCTTCTCAGACTACCTTAGACCTAAATATACCCTGCATTTCTCTTCTCTGAACGAACTGACATCATTTAATATATATATATATATCCACCTATAAGGGGAAGAGAAAAAAGCCTATTGCAAAACTCACTGTATGGGGACTAGATGATGACTTAGTGACTAAGACAAGTTTTTTTTTTCTTTTCCAGAGGATATAAGTTTAGTTTCCAGGCCACAAGTTGGGCAGCTTACAGCAAAACATAACTCCAGCTCCACGGTATTCAGTGTCATTTTGTAGTCTTTGGAAGCATCCACAAAAATGGCTTGTACATGTGTATACTCTCAAAGGAAAGAGAGACATAGAGTAAGGGAGCAAAATAAAAAATCTTAAAGTACTCATATTATACTGTGTGCAAATTCTTTTAACACTGACTGATAGTTTTTAGTGTTCTACATTGTGGAACCACAGGGTTCAGTGCAAGAGATTGGTTGTGATAACTGGATTAGTGTGGGTTAGTTTCCTCAAGGAAGAAGCTTGTCCTTGGAGGGCTTCAACTTAAGTAGACCTCTATTTGAGCAAAAGAAATTGAACAAAAGTGTAGCTTTAACATGAGTCCTCTAGTTTTATTTACTACATTTCATGGTAATTATTCAGCAAACCTATTAACTCTTATGAACTAGACTCTGGTGATCTGCATTTTAACTGCACTACCTGGATTCACAAAGGCATTTCCAAAGCAGAATCTCTTACTAGGAACTGGAAAGAAGAGCGTCTTCATCATGGGATAGACTTGTTTATTCCTGACAGGTAATATTTAGTATTTTCTCAAATTACTGTGACATGTTTCTGTGCCTTCTTTTGAGAAAGGACTACTCATATTTGCATCCTGTTTTTAACACTCTTTTTTCTGTGTTTTATTTTGTAGTTGAATTATTTTATTTCCTTCTGAAATCTGGTTATTAAGCAATTGTCAGTTATTTAGTATATAAGGACCATTTCTTTTCTCTAAGTTTTGTCTTCATTCTCTTGTTTCCTGTGCTGGGTAAAAGCTTTTCCTTTTGATGTCATTTCATCTTCCTGTGTTTTTCATGACTGTGCTCCTGGGGTCCTATGTAAATGTCTATTAAATTCCTTGAATAATTTCAAAGTTTTAATGCATCCGTTACATTCCTTTATATTTAATTAACTTTTTCCTATCCAGAGCTCTCCACAAAGTACTATTTTACTTTCCTCTCTGATACTCCATAAAGGAGAAAGAGAGAGGGCTGGTAGTGGGCAGGTGCAACAGTTCATGTCTGTCAGTCAAAAGAAAACTATAGGATTTATTTCTCTCCTTCCACTTCTGATTCATTGTGTGGTATGAATAAAAATGTCCTCCATAGTCTGTTGCACTTGAACACTAATTCATCAGCTAGTTCGATTGTTTGAGGATGTGTAAAAGGTTTGGCCTCCTTGATGGTTGAAGCATGTCACTGGCAGCTGGTTTGAGGTTGCAAAGCCTCACAGTATTGCCAGCTCATTCTCTGTGCTCCCTGATTGAAGTTTGAGATGCAAACACTCATCTTATGCTATGGCCATCATATCAAGCCACTTCCCTGTCATGATGAACTCTTATCCCTCTGGAACCAAAAGCTCAAATAAAAACTCCCCTTTATAAATTGTCTTAATCATTTTGTTTATCACACCAATAGAAAAATGACTAATACCATCCTGGAGACAGAACTTGAGTTGTCAGTCATGGCAACAGGCACCTGCATCTGCTGAGCAACCTTACTGGCTAAATGCATATGTTTCTAATTTAAAATGGCTTGAAGCAGCAAGAAATAATGAATACATTACAGTGAATAATTGATGAAAAAGATGTTTTTTTAAATATAATTATCTTATTCAATTCTCCACAAAACATTTTGACTCCAAGCACATTAGGTATACATTTTTACCACTAAAGTTTTTTAATAATGTAGTTAGGTGGTTTTGACATGAAAAATAGTCATATTAAATTTATTCTTGTTTATTTTTCATGGCATCTTCTCCAAAGAATCTCTACAGAAACTAAATTTGGCAAGGTACTGTTATTTTCTTTCTCACTAAAAAAATCTGCTTTTGAAGTAGTACTTAAAAATAATTGTCTTAAAAAGTACATTTGGCTCAAGATCTTCTTCAATATATCCTCCAGAATTAACCTACCCGGTTTAGGCATGGAGACCTGGATTAGGTGATGCTTCATTCAGATCTACAAAGAAAGATGAAAGATATGAGTCTCTGAAGATAGTGATTCTGACCCTGAAAGAACTGGATATTTACCTACCTCTTTTCCTTATATTTTCTCGTTGTTTTGTTGAGCAGAATTTTAAATTGTGTCTTAGAACTAGGAAAACACAAGATTAGTGTGTAAGAACACTTGCTGATGGGGAAGCTCAACAAATCACATCTGGTTAGGGTGTGGCCACCTGGAGCCCAGGTAGAAAAACCGAGAGATGTAGATGCACGCTCTCTCTCTCTCTTTTACGGTGGCCACTGGATCTTTTACGGTGGCCACTGGATCTATCGGATTTCAGAACTCCCATTCTTGTAGTGTAAGTTCTTCCCTCATTAACCATTAAAGTATTCCTGTTACTCTTGAGCTAGCCTCGTTACTTATTATACCAACCCAATTCATTACAGTTGGCACCCAACGTGGGGCCACTGCAGCTCAGTGCCCTGTGCCATTTGCACATACCATGGCTTGACTTCCCTCGGCTCTACGCCTCATGCCATTTGCACATACAGCAGCTTGGCTCCTTGTTGGGGAATTGAACTCCAGTCACCCGCGTGACAGGCGAGGATACTCACCACTATATTTTTTTTTAAAAAAAGAGGGATAATTGGATCATGGAATAACAGATTGATATTTGTGAGTTATTGTTTTTAGAGAATTATATTGGCATCGATTCCTGTATATTGATACAAAGTTAAATTATATTGAATATTGTATGCATGTATGCTTCTTCTGTTTGAAACATTGTTTATGTATTCATACATATATTTTCCATATTGCAGTATACCCTACTACCTCTGATCAAGATACTTATTCATTGTTTACATTTGAAGGTCATTGTTCTTATTTATTGTTCTTATTTATTGTTGTTTATTGTCTTAGTCTTTAAGTTAGATGGTATTGAGAATTATAGATCAATAGTCATCTATGTTTGTCATATTTATATTTAGGCTAATAAGTTTCTTTAGATACAATGGAGATTATATTCAGTATAGATAGATAGTCTTCAACCTCTTCAAAGAGCTGTAGAAATGGCCTTTAACTAACTTAGAGTTCCATGGTAATGAGACACAATTGCTCCTGGCAATACCTATCTATTCCCAAGAGAATGTTGTGAATCAAAGACCCTCCACCAGGAACTTTCTTCTTGGCAGAACTGGCCTTTGGGCAAAGAAATGTCCATACCTCAACCACTGACAGAGATTTAGAGTGATGTGGGAGTGTCATATATCAATCTGTTGATTTCATTGGTTAAGTAATAAACACACTGCTTGGCCTCATAGGTTAAAGCATTGGTGGGAGGAGTAAACAGAATAGAATTCTGGGCGGAAGAGGAAGTGAGGTCAGACTCTGCTCTGCTTCCAGAGGGACCGGACAGCTCTGCTCTCTGGAGCAGAGACGCCATGCTCAGCTCTGCCAGGCAGCTCCAACCCACGATGGACTTAGGCTAGAATCTTCCCGGTAAGCACACCTTGGGGTGCTTACACACATTACTAGAAATGGGCTAGTCCAGGTGTGAGAGTTAGCCTAGAAGCAGTTAAATGAATACAGTTTGTGTGTTGTTATTTCGGGCAGAAGCTAGCCAAGCGGCCGGGGTGTTGGGGACGCAGCCCCGCCGCCGCTCTTATTTCAACAGAGTATCTGTAAATGCATAAAATAGAACTGTCATATCCTGCCAAGACAGGGTAAGATAGTTTTGAAAAGTTTCTTGTCTTTGAAAATGATATATAAGTTATGTTAGGCCTTAGCCAAAGTTGATTGCCTCAACATTGCAAATGAGACTTTGTGTGATTTCCCAGGTTGTCAGTTGTCTCTGTCATTTGTTGCACATTTTGGAAGTTTTTCAATTGTACTTCCTGTTTACTCAATATTGCTTTCCTTCCCAGATCTTCTATAGAGTTGAAGATTAGATAATTGTAGTTACACTCCTCAGGATTTAGTTAAACTTAATTTCAATACATTATTTAGACTCTTTGAAATAGAATGCTTAGTAAAACTTTTGTTACGCATTGCTTGCTTAATATTGTTTATTGCTTGTAATTTTATATTTGGTATCTGTTCCTATTGTATATAATTTGTATTGGGTTTGAATTGCTTTTGTTTAGACAAAGGGGGGAGATGATGGGGAAGCTCAACCAATCACATATGGTTAGGGTGTGGCTGCATGGAGCCTGGGTAGAAAAACTGAGTGATGTAGATGTGTGCCCTCTCTCTTTGCGGTGGATGCTGGACCTATCAGATTTGGAACTCCCATTCTTGTAGTGTAAGTTTTCCCCCTCATTAACCATTAAAGTATTCCTGTTACTCTCGAGCTAGTCTGGTTACTTATTATACCGACCTAATTCGTTACAACTTGCTTTTGCAAGTCAAACTATCCAATAATTCCTCACAAAAATTTGGGTGCCTGAGCATTGATCTGTAATCCCAGCACTCCCATGGTGAGATGAGAGACAGAGGACTGTGAAGTGAAGCAGCAGAAACAAGAGAAGCCCTGCCTCAACAAGCTGGAAGGAGAGCAGTGACTCCTGGATGTATCTCTGACCTCACATAGACACTGTGCCATGCTTATTCCAACACATGCACACTTAACCTAAATAATGCTAACAAAGAAAATACAGGAAAGGATTCATAGCTGTATAAATTCTCACTTCTATCTTTATATGGAGAATAAAATATGAAAACTATTTAAAATATAGCACACATTATTTTGTTCTTAAAATAATTGTGCCATTCAAATTAACTTTAAGGTTCCTCATTTTCTTAATAAGATAGTATTTTTCTCTCTCTTTCTGGTGGAGGAGTCTGGAGATGACGTTCAGAGATGGCACCTCGCAAGGGGAAGGAAAAGAAGGAAGAACAAGTCATCAGCCTTGGGCCTCAAGTGGCTGAAGGAGAGAATGTATTTGGTGTCTGCCACATTTTATTTATTTATTTATTTATTTATTTATTTATTTATTTATTTATTATGTATAAAATATTCTATCTGTGTGTATGACTGCAGACCAGAAGAGGGCACCAGACCTCATTACAGATGGTTGTGAGCCACCATGTGGTTGCTGGGAATTGAACTCAGAACCTTTGGAAGAGCAGGCAATGCTTTTAACTACTGAGCCATCTCTCCAGTCCCCTCTGCCACATTTTTGGGTCCTTCAATGACACCTTTGTCCATGTTACCGATCTTTCTGGCAAGGAAACCATCTGCCGGGTGACTGGTGGAATGAAGGTCAAGGCTGACAGAGACAAGTCCTCTCCCTATACAGCCATGTTGGCTGCCCAGGATGTGGCCCAGAGGTGCAAGGAGCTGGGCATCGCTGTCCTGCATATCAAACTCCACGCCATAGGAGGAAACAGGACCAATACCTCTGGACCTGGAGCCCAGTCAGCCTTCAGAGCTCTTTCATGCTCAGGGATGAAGATTGGGCAGATTGAGGATGTCACACCCATTCCCTCTGACAGCACCCGAAGGAAGGGGGGTCGTCGTGGTCGCCGTGGTCGCCGTCTGTGAACAAAACTTCTCAAATTATTTTCTGTTAATAAATGCTTTGTATCAGTAAAAAAAAAAAAAAAGATAGTATTTTTCTTAAGGTACAGCTCTATAGCAAGCCATGTGAATAAATTGATGTGTGTCTGACCATAGTCCACTAACATTTATTTCCAACCAGTTTTTTCCTTTTTTTTTTTGTCAAGATCTATTGTAAAGGCAAACAGCATTAACAACGTGGTGTAATTTGTGTGTGTGTGGGGGGGTAATGCTTCCTGAAAATTAGTTCATGTTGTTTGCAAAGAGCAGGTGACCTAATTTCATGTTCCATTGCCAGTGACTCACTATTTGTGGACATAGTCCTTAACCTCTGTCATTTATACTTTGCCAACTGGAAATGGGAGTAATTATATATTGCACGCTGGCAGGTGGCTGAACCGTCCGAAGCTTGATTCGGCTCAGAGCCCTGACTCCACTGTGCCATCAGGGCTAAGTATTTTATCAACTGCCTGCTCATTGTTTCCTTTAGTTCTCATATTCTTGACTCTCCATTTGTCTTTGCTTATGAAAATGTGCAAAATATCAATTTTTGGTACTGCTTAACAGAATTCTTTCTGACCACAGCAACAGCTCCTCAGCAGGTTAAAGGAGCTACAGATGATTCTGATAATCTGAGTTTGGTCCCTGAGATGCACAGGCTCAAGAAGGAAACTGATGCTGCAATTTGTCTTCTGACTCCAGATGCATCCTAACCCAATGCATAATAAATAAAATTCAATAGCATTAAATAATAGTACTCCTTCTCTCTCTATACTCTGTCTTGACAAAGACACCGTTACAGACCAAAAGCAATCCCTAAGAAAGAAAGCAATTGTTTTACTTTACAATTCACCTCCTTCTTCCAGCAGGGAAACTGACCTCTTCACGCTTTTTTTTTTTTTTTTTGGCTTGAGAGATGCTATGAAATCAAAATAAACATTTATTTAGGACATTGAGATTATAGAAAGAAACAGAACTAATAAAAATCATTAGATCAACAAAAATTCTTTCCTGCTTGGTGTGACTGTTTCCAGTGCTGTGGGTGATTTCAGAATTCCAGATGATGGCAGATGCAAGAAAACCTGTCTTGAACTTAGATTTTATCAGAATCCCAACACTGAAATTTTAATCAAAAATGCAAGTTTTGTCAGATTACACATCATAAGATAATTGTATATTTTGCACTGTTTCTGGTAAATTGGTGCAGCCTAATTAGAATATCAGTAATAAATAAATGCTCTTATCAGGAATGCATTTTTTTTCCTTTTTAATCATTTGGTTTTTTTTTGTTTTTTTCCAAGACAGGGTTTCTCTGTAGCTGTGGAGCCTATCCTGAAACTAGCTTTTGTAAATCAGGTTGGCCTCAAACTCACAGATATCCACCTGCCTCTGCTTCCCAAGTGCTGAGATTAAAGGTATATATCACCACCGCCTAGTTTTAATTTTTTTTAAACTCATACATGAACACTGCATTTACAACACTAGGTCCCCAATTCATCTTGTATCCTACCTTTCTTTCCCAAATTAATGAACCCACAGCTCTCTCTACATATTTACTGCTGATTCTATTTACTGTTGCTCTTATGTATTTGTGCCCAGGAACAACTCCTTGAGAATGGACAATTAGTGTGAGAGCCATCTCTGGAAAAAAACTGATTCTCCTCTTAGCTGTCATTGACCACTCGTCGCTTTTCATATAAGGGAGTTTTTAGCTGGGGTTGTCCTTATGCCAGTTTGTTCAGGCAACCACATTGTTGAGGTTCATGAATATGTTTTCTTTATCTTGCCTAAGGGGCACTTCCTAATGATAAGTGTTTGGGGCCTCTAATTCTTACGATCTTTCTGTCCCTCTTCTGTAACACAAGAAGTTTGTAAGTAAATAAATAAAATTAGAAAATATTTTATGTGCCAAGTAAGGGAACTCAGAAAAATGCCGCATGCTCTCTCTTAATTACGGATCTTAACTCCAAGCCCTTAGATTTGAATATATAACCTGAACTAACAGAAGAAGACAGCAAAGTTCACAAGGAATGCTGGGGTTAGGAAGAGAGGCAAAACTGGACTCTAGAGAAAGATAGTGAGAGACAGGTGTTCTGAACAGAGTAATGGATGAAATGGGCACTTTAACTGGGGAGGGAGCAGAAATGCTCCCATATAATATTTCAGTTATAAAGAAACACATTAGACTTTCTGGAATCTGCTTACCATAACAAAGCCTTTAGAAACTAGGCCTAAATGTGACCTCACATCCCAGCAGGCCCAGCCAGTTCCACACTGAAGTTACCGTAATTACCAGCATCCTTGCTGCAGATTGGGAGCTGCCACATTTTTGCTCTTTGCACATTCTCTTCCTCCACTGTTCCTTGGTTCTCTGGCTGTCTAACTTCCGCGACCCAATATAGTCTCAGTTCAACTCTCACCTTTACAACCTTCCACAGCAACCTGTGACCAGATTCGGGGTTGCCCTATTGTGCTTGGAAAATGCTCAGGACATGTTCCTATGACTGCCATGGTAATTATCATTATTGTCAGTCTCTTGAGAACAGGGTATTGGTTTATTTTTAAATCAATTTATGAGCAGTTTTTCAGTCGGTTGTTCAGACAGATCGTGAAAGTTATACGTGTGGCAACATAGAGGTGCTCATTCTTGAAAATCTTTCTATTCTATGTGAAAATCTGCCTGGTCTAGTGTTTCCAAAGATAGGATGAAGAAATTGTTTACATGTATCAAATATTGGTGTGATTATTTTACTGTATTTGCAACAAACACATTCACTTTAACAGGCACTATGGAGGTGGGCTCTGATTCTCAGTGTGGGTGGCTAACAGGCATCATGAGGGTGTTCTCTGGCTGTCAGTGTGGGTGGCTAACAGGTACCATGGAGGTGTGTTCTGGCTGTTGGTGAGGTTGGATTTAGTCTTTTTCAACTTCTGCTGATCTTTGCTACTTCTTCCTCTTACATGGGATTCTTACATAAGTTTAGGCATGAACAGCAAGACTGAGAGTGGTCTTGATTTAAAGCCAAATTGATGTAAATCACCATGCTAAACCATAATTAAATCCCTGTGACAAAATGTAAGGCTCTATCAGAATTTATCAACTGTGTGCCCCACTGTTTGTTTGAAGTAAAATCTTAATGCATGTATTTTTAGTTACAGAAGCACTTTTTTCCTTTCATTAGACTTACAATAATAAATCTATATAAGAATATTTTAAATTTAGTTTAATATGCTCAGCAAACCAGTTGTCAATGGTTGTTTAGGCTTAAAGATTAAATCCTCATTTATATCCTTTGTTTGCTTCTAATGTTTATTATTTAGCATGAAAAAATTTATTGCATTCTGATTTACCCTGATTTTTGAAGGCTTCAAAAAAGTTTTCTGCTATTATAGCATGGAAGGCATTTTCTTTCTAAACTGAATTGAACCTCAGATACTCTTTCCCTGGTTGTTCACTCTGTTTTGACTTAGAGAAATGAGCTCTGCAACTTTTTGTTCTGTCTTGACCCCCAAGTGACTCAATCATTGTTTCTCCCATTTTTTTTTTCATTTGATAGATGGCTTTTCCTATCTTCTTCTGAATGAAAGAACTTTATTCATACTCTCAATGTCAACTATCTCTATTTGATGTTCTCCATGTCAGTTGTCTCTCAACTTAAACATATGTTCTAAGGGGCTGTTTCAGAAACCTTGCAGACAAACATCTTTTTTGTTTGTAGTGAAACTAAATACTGCTCTTATATAAGTGAAAATGAGAAGCGACTGATTCTTAAATGAAACAAATTTAACTATTTCTTGTTTACATAATACAGAGCAGTTGAGTGGTGATTGATGGGTCAGTATAAGAGAATGCTGACCTGCCTTTTCCAAAAGTAAGCTTTCACTCTTGTTATCTGAGAATCCCAAATAAAATATGTCTTCCAAATCAATTTGCCTAATGTCCCCTAATATCCCTATTTGACTGTTAACTATGCATTATTCCAAGAAAAATGGGTAAGGGCAAAAGATAGTTCTCACATCTTCAGAATAGAAGGTGGCTGCAAGAATGTTCAAAAACATACTTCTTTGCATTCTTATGCACAAATTGCATCTCCCCTTCAGCTTAGTAAAATACTACTTGCCTGTAGGACATATTTCACATGTCCTGATCTAAACTTTTTCTTTGTATCTTGTACCTTTGTGGCCTGTGCCTTTATGGCCGTGTATTCTTCAAGTTTCATGGTCTGATTTGCTTTACATGATGAAAAATTGGGAAATAGACTAAACCAGAGGTTCAATGGGATTAATTCGTTTATCTTTGACACCTACATCATGAGCATAGGAAGTAGGCTGTTGTTTCATAGTTCTCCAATCTCAGGTGTTGAGAATATTCTTTCTTAAATTAGTCATTTACTAGAATAGAAAATGCTATCATTTAAAACATTTTGTGTATGCATGAATGCTAATTTCACAATTTCAATGCAATTTTGACATATAATTCATGTGTTTATGTTTTGACACAAATGAGCATTTGATTGTAACTCTACCTCCCTTTTGGATATTGTGTCTAAATACAGGTAACTGGCATTTTTAGAAAAATTTCTTTTACAGTTAAAAAACTGGAAATATCTTGTCAAAAATCTCTATCTCCTTAGCATAGCTAAGTTTAACAATTTAAGTTCTTCCTCACTCTCAAATTCATGACTATATATATATATATATAT